CATCAGAAGCACGCGGTAGTGTAGTTAGTTGAAGCACAATGCTACAAGAAGAAAAGTCGCGGTTTTGATTCCCGATGAGGTCATTGGATTCTTCAATTTACCGAATATTTCCAGCCGCACTATGACCTGGTGTCGACTCAACCTGTAACAGAAATGAGTACCAGGAATCTTCCTGGGTGTAAAGAGCCGCCGGTGCGTAACGCTGAAAACCTCACCGTCATCTGTGAGCCGATTGTCTAGAAAATGTGGGAGCATCCACGTCTCACTACTCCATTGGTCTCCACGGCCTGTTACAGGGATAATTTTACTCTTTTTTTATGTCGCCAGATGACTGCTAATCCTATGAGAAGTGGTCTGAAAATAGAATATAGTGGCAACTCCAGTCGGCTTTTCCATCTGTGAAAGTAACTTCTGTCTAGAGTTCAGGTCCCGGTGGATGCCAATTTTATTGTAGCCGTTCCCGCCCGAAAGTCCTAATGAAATGCAGGGTTATTTTAACTAGAGACTGAGGGTCACATGTGGTCTTGGCCCATCGGCTGAATGTTGAGAGAATGGCCTGTTATGCGGTGAGTGATGCTGATAGATCAAGCATGTAACGACATCAGTATGCGTGTGTTTTCTGTATACCGTACGCCACGATGACCTGCCGGGCTTCTCCTTTACCGGGACATCGAGGAACGGCAGAATGCAGTGCAAATATCGCAGACGCTGTGTACCCGACAATGACGACTCTGACGGACAGTCACACCCTCGTCAGAGGAACACTCCATATCGAGTTAATCGTAAAGCTCAAGGTTTCTCAGCTTAAAATCTGCATCATAGATAAAGCATCTGCGTATTATTGACGGACTGTTACTCATAAAATGACTCGGACTTGGACACATCACATCACTCAATGATTATATAGACAGAGATGGTCTCCAAAACGTTGGTTACTAATTGCAAGGTAATCTATTTGGTGATCCGTGACAACTGAACACCGCAGAGGGCATCAATGAATGCGGTTTGCGTGAAAGCTTCGAAGGCCTCAAATAATATGCAGTTGGTTTGCCTGACTGGGAATGGCTCAAGGCGCAATTTTTAATTTTGAGCGTGGTTACATTTATAGTTAATTGTTAGTTTTATAGTTTAGAAATTAAATTTTCGGACTAGAGTAGTGCGAGTCCTTATAAGAGAGTTACGAATACGGTTTCCATTTCAATGAGTTATTTTAATGTACTAAGAGTTACCAAAAATCTGTGTCAGTTTTCTCCTAATGGTACCAAATTTGCATATTGCTTTGGAAATGAATTAACCATTCGGAACACTGTCACTTTTGAACAGTACCATACATTTTTTTGCCTTGATATCGCCGACGTAAGTACTCGTCATATTTACGAATGAAAAACTAACCACTTTCATGTTAACTTTTAAGTCTGGCTAATGTTCCAAATAACCAAACCTTGTGAACATCTTAATGTGTAACAAGACATAAATGTCATCTCACCACTACATGAGTTTATGTGCACTGGTGTATTAGGTTATCTGACTAAGTACGAGGCAATTTGGGTGGTTTGCAGTTACATATGTGCTACTGAGTTATGTAAAACTGTAGAGTATGGGTTGGATCCTTCAAAAGTCGCCTTACTTAACCTAACTAGTTAAATCAAATGAAACTATTTAAAATATCCTTTGTGATTTATCACTGATGATCATCCTGCCATACAATACCATATAACCACTGCAGCTGAAAACATGCTGGTATGTAGTCAAAGAATCATCTTATGATGCCTGCACATATTCTTCCCAGCATTGTTTTGCACCATTTGTCATTCTTGATCAGAAACAGCTAATGCAAGCAGTGTACATAACTTACAATACATCACAGATTATGTGTATTTTCACAGTACATTCAGTGGTCTCCAGATAGCCAGTACATTCTGTGTGCTCTGTATCAACATAGTACCATTCAAGTATTCTCACTTCATAGTCCTGACTGGAAATGCAAACTGAGGCACAGTGTGTGTGGGATTGTAGATGTGTGTTGGAGTCCAGACAGTCGACATATTCTAACAACTGCAGAATTCCATGTAAGTCAAAGAACCAAAACAAAGCATCAAATCAAAATTTGCTGATAATATATACCTATTTTATTTATTTTCCAGTACTGTATGTTTAACTTATTCGAATCTTTCCCGTCATTTTTTTATGAAAGGGTTTCATATGATCAGGAAATGAACAATATGGTTGCATAAATCTTAAAATTGGAATAAATGATACTGATAATTGTGGGTGACAAAACTGATGTAGAACATAGCCATATGATATCTAAATTCTCCCTTGGCTTATGTGCCAGAGCCACATTTAACAGCAAACAAGAGCTCAGGATACTACAATATGCTGCTCTTGAGCTGGAGAAAGTAGCAAAATTTCTACTAGTCCCTCTGTTGATTCTTCCAGATAAGAGGCTGTAATCATATCCCTGTTCACTTTTATGACACCTCTAAGACTCTCCTCACCCTTGTTCTTAATTAATTTCATGGAGCTGAGTCCTTCAGAAGCCACAAATTGTGGAGATACTCAAGAACTTCCCAGCATTTATGGAACCTGAAGGTTTATTACCATGTTCACAAGATTCCTCCACTGCTTCCTATCCTGAGGCAGATGAATCCAATCCATACCACCCTATCCTGTCTCTCTAATATCCATTTTGCCATTGTCCACCAACCTACATCTTGGTCTTCCTAGTGGTCTCTTTCCTTCTGGCTTTCCCACCAATATCCTCTATGCATTCCTCTTCTCCCTGATTCATGCTACATGCTCTTCCCATCTCAGCCTCCTTGACTTGATCATTCTAATTATATTTGGTGAATAGTACACGTTATAAAGCTCCTCATTATGCAGTTTTCTCCAATCTCCCATCACATTATCACCCTTCGCTCCAAATATTCTACTCAGCACTCTGTTCTCAAACACCCTCAGTCTCTGTTCCTCCCTTGATGTCAGAGACAAAGTTTCACACCCATACAGAACCAAAGGCAAAATTATAGTTTTGTAAATTCTAATTATTATGTTTGTAGATGGCAGGCAAGAAGACAAAAGCTTCTGGACTGAATGGTAGCAAGCATTACCCAAGTTCAATCTTCTCTTAATTTCCTCCTGAATCAGGTTTTGATTTGTTACTGTTGTTCCAAAATATTTGAACTGTTCCACATTTTCAAAGCATCTGTTAACTGTCTTTATGACATGATTTTGCCGTGCATTCTGGTGATAAGATAACAACATATACTTAACTTTCTCTGTGTTTACTTCTAGACCAACCTCCTTACTAGCATCAATTAGAGTCTGAGTAGTTCACCTTATGGTATCTATATTAAGTAAGTAAGTAAGTAAGTAAGTAAGTAAGTAAGTAAGTAAAGGTATCCCTGTAACAGGCTGTGGAGACCCATAGGGTTGTGAGATGTTGAGGTTCCAACATTTTCTAGACAGTCAGCTCATAGATGGTGGAAAGATTGTCAGCCCTATGCGCCAGCTGCCCTTTACCCCCAAGAACATTCCAAGAATATTCCTGGTACTCATTTCTGTTAGAGGATAAGTCAACCCCAGGGCCATAGTGCGGCTGGAAGGATTAGGTCGATTGAAAAAATCCAATGACCTCATCGGGACTTGAATCTGCGACCTTCCGGCTTGTAGCATAGTGCCTCAACCAACTACACTACCACATGCCCCATGGTATCTGTATATTCACATCATCAGCATAGACCAACAACTGATGTGTCCCATTTAATTTCACTCCCACCTGGTTTTCTTGGACATTCCTAATGGCATATTCTAAAGCAAAGTTTAAAAATAATGGTGAGAAAGCATCTCCTTGTTGTAGATCATTCTGGACAGGAAAATTTGAAGCAAAACAGAACATGTTTGCATGGACCAGGAAGGAAATGGGACATTACAAGTTTAAACATTTCTATGCTCATCTGATATTGTTGATATTCAATTTATAATTTTAGAGGATATTTCTTTAAACAGACATCCATGATAAAATTCACTGTTGGAGAAATCTACTGACAGAACCATATGTCTCCAAAGAGTAATGTTTCTGAATAACTGAGTTATCAAAAACCATTAATAATAAATCTAAACCAATTCGATTTGCAGATGACACTAGTATAATATTTAAGAACTCTAAATTTGAAGACTTTAAAAATGATATAAGTTTCGTATTTGAAGCTTTAAATAGATGGTTCGAAGCCAGTAAACTCTCACTAAATTTTGATAAAACCCATTACATACCATTCTCAACTAAAAATAGCCACCAAATTGATCTGGTCATCAGTTATGCCAACAAATTAATCTGTAAAGCACCTGATACAAAATTCCTTGGAATACATGTAGGCAGTACACTATCTTGGAAAATACATATAGAACAAACTATACCTAAATTAAGTGCAGTTTGCTATGCAATGAGATTGATTAAGCCCTTTATGCCACAGGAAACACTGAAGATGGTTTACCATGCCTACTTTCATTCTATTATGAACTATGGATTAATATTCTGGAGGAACTCTTCACATAGTGTAAAAAATTTTAAGATACAAAAGAATATAATTAGAATTATTACAGGACGTAGAAGTAGAGATTCATGTAGAGATTTATTTAATAAATTAAAAATTATACCTCTTCAATCACAATACATACTATCACTTCTCTGATTTGTTGTGTACAACAAAAATAAATTTGAATTAAATTCCAATATTCATAACATGAATACTAGACAAAAATATAACTTCCATCTGTCTTCGTCAAACTTATCACTATGTCAAAAAGGAGTAGACTTTTCTGCCATAAAAGTGTACGATAGTCTCCCACAAAGTCTCAAAAACTTGAGTAATGATACTAAACATTTTAAATCAGAGCTAAAGAATTGTCTGCATGCTCATTCTTTCTACTCTGTAGACGAATACCTCAATGTAAATACAGAATAATGTAGAATTAAGCTATATTAGTTTAAGATAAAATTACTTGTACCAGTAGGTATTCTTTTGACTTGTTCTATATCCAAAGGTATTAACCTGCTTAGGGTTTATGGAATGCAAATAATTTCAATTCAGTTCAATTCAATTCATGTTATTTTAATTTATTGTTGCTGGTATCTCTACTGAGAGTTCTTAAGTAACAGACACAGAAAGTGCACCTTTTGTATAATGTATGTTGCAGTTTAAGTGTATCATTAATTATTCTTGTCTTCATATTTTCTTATTCTGAATTGTACTTTTGACAGGTTTCCATTTGCATTTGGTCATTAGTTTCTCATACTGTTAAGTACATCACATGTGTGAAAGAGACTACCAAACCATGCTTTTCATTTAGTTCCGATGGCAGCTGGCTGGCAGTGGTTGAAGATCAAGGAGATTTGGATTGTATATCCATTTTTTCAGCATCTTGGAAGCTGAGAAAGGTAAATGTTGGCATTATAAAACAGTGCACCATTCCACTGCTGAATGTCAGTAATCAGTGTGCACAGTTCGTAAAATTCAAATGGGATGGTTGTCATTTTGGTCAAAATCACGTTAATTTTTCCTTCCCCTTTTCATTCATTCATTCATTCGTTTATTCATTTACATCCCATGAATACTTACATAGCTGGAAGACCACTGGATATAGAAATAGTCAATGACAACAAGAGAAATCACATCAGTTACATAAATACAAATTAATTAAACTTAATCCATCACAATTACACATGTTATCCGAGACAAATCACAATGAGTAAATCATTAAGCAGTTGTAGAATATATGTGTGAAAGCATGCAGCATACTAATATGTAACAAGAATACAATAATCAAACATAAAAATATACTAATAGCCATCCAGCGTATATTAGATGAAGATCGTTAATTAATATCAAAATTAAAATATTCTTCCAATGAGTAAAATGAATTTAAAAGTAGAAATCTTTTTCAAGCAAATCTGAATTGTTTTGCCTCATGAGCTAAATTTTTTATGCTAGAAGGAAGATTATTAAAAACCTTGATTTCAAAATAATATATTCCTTTCTGGAATACTGTCTGCAAGCACCATTGCCATTAAACTGATATGTGGGGGTAGATGACGTTTTTCACTCTCTCCCCCTTTAATTTGGACTTCATTTAACACTTTGACTAGTAAGTCCTCTATAACTATTTGCTAGAAGCACCAAGGCTATGTGGGGTAACTGCAATTACACAGAAACACCCACAGTACTTATATTACCTACAAACGGCCACAGATGTATATATAGTGAAAGCCTATTCTTTCCTTTGATGGTTTGCACTTACAAAACATCACATATTACATAGAGCTACAAAAAAGAAACAAACTCCATGGTTTTAGTCCTCAAGCAAACTATACCAATCAAGCAACCACTGCTTGTCGGCGAAGTTAGTGACAACTTTAGCGGATAGAGGGTGTCGTGTGGTCAGCGCAATGAATCCCCACGGCCGTTAATTTCGGTTTTCTAGACCGGAGCCTCTATTTACTTGAAATAGCTCCTCAGTAATCCTCACAAGGCTGAGTAGACCCCATTCCAGACCCACTACTTCTTACAAAATCTGGTAGCGCCGGGAATTGAACTCGGACCTCTGGATCTGTAGCCAGGAACTCTGACCACTAGACCACAGGTGGTCATTGTTCCATGATCATTCTTCTTTATTGATCCTCTGTGCGCATGCACATGTGTATGTAGTTATAATAGGCAATTTGTGTCACAAGTGGGGAAAATGTATTGATGCACCATAATTCTGTTGCTAGGTTATGTGGAAAATCTATCTTCTACCATTGCTAGAAAATGAATGATGACATGAACAATGATCCGCCCTTACTGGGATATGGGGTAAGGAATGACAACATGACAGATAAAATGTTTAAGAAAGAGATAAGACAGAAAAGAGGAGATAAATATATGAAAGAAATAAAGGAAAGGAAGACAGGGTATGAGGGATGAAGATATAAAAGAAATTCATTCCATCATAATGGATCATGTGCTGGTAGTTCATTACTGAAAACTTTAACAAAGATTTTAATTTTGTTTCAGCAAATATCTTGTGTGGGTTTGGGCAGAATAGAAGGCTTCTCATGGACACCAGATGCTTCTGCTATATGTGTGTGGAAAGGAGCACCAGACAAATGCCAGCTGCAAGTGTATGAAATATCAACAGGCGAACTGAGGGGAAACTTTCAGTCATCTGAAAGCAGAATGTGTGGAATCAAAGCCGTTGCTTGGATGCCATCTGGTCAGTTTCTTGCCCTCGCCTGTTTAGATGATAAGGTTAGTTCTGTTTAAAAAATACAGAAAATAATTTCCTGGAACTTTTATACCAAGCACTTCTTTATGTATCACATATTGGATCATAAAGTACTATAAATGAATATTGCTCACTATATAATGCTAAAAGGTCTTGTGTTTTCAGTAAGGTTGTTATGAAATCAGGTACAGTTTTGACAGCAAAACCTGGAATCAGAGCTACCAAATCACATTGGTTCTGTTAAAGAAGAGATATAGATTTTGTTCATAGAAAAACAAAAGAGTGACTTCTTATTATCTGTTCATAAATTTTAAATTCAGACCTGTAACAAGTGAGTGAAATTTTACAGAGTAACTGCATGAGTGGTTTTCTTTAAATCACAGCTTATTTCCATGATTTGATTCAGTAGTGAAATTGTCATCTGCTTATACAATTCTCAGCAGCCACCCAATGGTCAGTTTGACTCATACCCTTCTACACACCTACATATATGAGTACACAGAATACTCATATGTTTACCAAATATTAGGATGAACAAATTGAGGAATATGAGATAGGTGAAGGACATAGTATGCATGAGAACTGCATATAGTATTTTGATCAGAAAATTTGTAAGGAAGAGACTACTTGGAAGGTCTGGGCTAAAATAGAAAGATAATATTTAAATTGGTGATCTGGCTTAGGATAGAAAATTGTGAAAACCTCTTGTGAACACTGGACTCAACTTTCAGGCTTCTAAAAGGTGCAGAATTTATTAAATGGCTGAGCAACTTCTTGAGAAGGAGATTGCTTTTTGTAGTTAGTTGTGCCTAATGGTTCAGCATATCTGTATTGTTTTGGCATGCATGTCCATTTGTCTCCTTTCCCAACCAGAAGTTTTTGTAACCATATTTGGTTCTTATATTTTCTAAATCATGAATTCATTGACAGATTTTTATAAAAACTTATATTAGAAACTTTCTCTTTTTATCTTGCGTTAGGCTTTCATGCCTGTTGCAACTACAGATGATGTTTCTCTTATTTTTAGAACACGCAGAATCTTTTGCCATTCAGTTACGATTCATAAATCTTGTAGTTAGCATTGTCTTATGGCTTCCATTGTCTGCATGTGGTTTATCCACTTATTGCTGTAATTGACTTCCTTTATTTGTTTAAAGATGTTCATTTATCTATGATGTCATAACTCTTTCATCTGGTCACTTTCATTTATATCCTGGCACTGTTCTAAGAAATCTCATTTCATTTTCTTGGAGTCTACATATTTCTGCTTGCATCTCCAAGTTTCACTTCCATATAATGAACTTTGTATTAGAGATCATAAATAGCTGCTGTGCAAGGGTCCTTTAACAATCTTGATCTTAAAAAGTGGTCCTGGTAGACCTTATAATGTTTTAACAATGCACCTTTTCTTACTTCCTTGCCAAAGGCTCTGTTGTTAGTATCTGTGATGTAAGATACTTATACAGTGCGTACAATCAAGTGCGCGCCGCGGCTGCAATTTGCCGTGAGTCATACCACCGCAGAACGGATGCAGTCGCGGGGAGGAGTTGCAACACTCCCCGCGACTGCATCCGTTCTGCGGTGGTATGACTCACGGCAAATTGCAGCCGCGGCGCGCACTTGATTGTACGCACTGTATATTTTTGTTTAAATGTGTGTATTCATTATGCAAGCAAGCAAATCCTTTCAATTTAAATTTGTTTGCTTGCAAGATGGCGTTTTATTCTCATATTCTTTTAAATCTTACAGGCATCTTTACTTGAAAAGTCATCCTCTCTTCAGATTTTCATATTGAATTGTCTGATAAGCTGTATAACTCATATAGAAGTTTCTGAAGATTGGTATGCCTTTTATTTCTGTTTATGGTTTATTTAACAGTGCTGTCAGTAACTCAGGCCATATGGTAGGATCTGCAAAGAAGCCATTCAGGTGGTCTCATTGTCCTGTCACCTATGTGGGAGACTGATAAAAGTCATGAAATATCTCACTTAGGATAGTCAGTGTCCTGGCTGATGTTTGAACCGTGCACCTTCTAAATACAAGCTGGAAGCGTTGAGCCCAAGTGATCGGTATGAAGATCATCATCAGTCTTATATATAATTACCTAATCGACAGCAAAGAGAGAAATTGTTTTAATTCTTTACACTTAAATTTAGACGAATGAGAGCTAAACTTTAAAATGAATTTTCTTACAGCTTTCTCAAGAACTCTCTGATGCAAATTGTATGATGTCATAACATTTTGATATAATGCATGGATTGATAATCATCATCATCATCCTCTACTACCACCTCCCCCCCCCCGCACACTGCTATGGGCACTACAGTCTATGATCAACTTTGGCATCTTTTGTGATTGCTTTCCATTTGTCCCAATCCTGTGACTTTTGTCTCCAGTTTCTAATGCCCACTGTCTCCATATCATCTTCAACTGAATCCAGCCCCCTGACAGCAAGTCTGCCTACTCTTTGAGTACTCTCTGGTTTATGTAGAGTTGACCTCCTGCAAGGGTTCTGCTCCTGCATTCTAAAAAGGTGACCCAGCCCCACCCATCTCTACCACACAGATTGCTAATAAGTAACCCAATTAATGCTCAGGTAGTAGGACTCAGAAGTTTCATCATAGCTAATACCAAACCCTAAAAGATAAATTTGTCCCTGCGCTTAATGAATTAAATACCATTCCATGAATATGTATGGGGGAGTGGAGCTATAGCTCCACTAGTCTTGACCTCAGCACTACATGGAGGTAGCATTATTTACTGAATTTTTCTCTTAAATTTGTCATTAACTTATTTCTGTTTCTTACTTTTTCTCCCTCTTTGTCAAATGAGTGTGTTTGTCTTTGAGTGCTGTTTACACTGGTTGGGTATCTAGGATACACTGGGAAGAGGTGTCAGTTAGGTTTTGCCCCCCAGAAATTATCAACAGAGTGCATAGAATACTCCTATTCCTTTCCAATGGATACCATCACATGTTGCCCTGATAGGGTGTGAAAGGCCAAATGAACTTGGCAAAACAGCAGCAACTAAACAAAATACCTACTCAGCAATCCTTTAAATATTATAAGAATACCTAAAAGGAGAAATATAAAGGGCAATAGAGGAAAATATTGCACATTACTCTATTAGCAACATGGGGATAAGGTTGGAGCATTCTTGGAACTAAACTTAGCAGAGCTGGTGCTACTAAGATCACATGACTGAAAACTTGACACACTAGGCCAAATCATCTATCTAAACAACAGAAAGAAGAGTTTTCTGGAATATAAAAAGTATGACATGCACATAGAGCAGCACACCTACTGAAACATGCTGATGCTGTGACAGAAGTATTTCACCTAGATCCAACAGTAATATTTAAGAAATCCACCTGTATAATCTCCACAAGCTGGTATCAAGTGTCATGGACTAAGAAAGAAAACTTTGGTGCCTGATACTTACATTTTGAAACATTTTATTTATATGTCTTCATTTTATGAAGGTTGAATTTTTAACAGTTCACATTTACTGCATTTATGTATTGTCAGTAATGCATCGATTTATGCTACAGGAATTTTCATTTATAACATTTCCAACTTGATGGATGCTGCCAAACACATTCAGACAGAGCTGAACAACCCAAATCAGCCAGCTTTGTTTTCATCATGACCCAACATGAACCATCTCTTATTCTCAAGTTTTTTTTGTAGTTTTTATCCATTGGCCTTTCTTGTTCTGTGAATTAATAGTTGTAGGATTTGGAATGGCTAAAACTTTACGTATTTGATTAAATCATATTTCTACTTATTCTTGTAAAGCTTTTGTTTTCTAACATTTAGACGGGAATGTTATAATGTGGAAAAAGTGTAAAGATACAGAAAATGGATATCATTGGCAATACTGGACCTTTTACAGTGAAGAGAGAAAACCAAACAATGTAAGCAAGAAACCGAATTCAGTTAGTATGTTATATAGCTCTAATCTCCCCACTGATTCACAGATTTCATAAACTCCAAATGGCTAACTAGTGATGCATTATACTTCAATATGTCAGATAATAAAGATTTAAACTGTTCACATGTGATAGAATCTACACCGATGTTCAACAGTAATTTCATTCACAGATGGGGTTAACTGTGCAAGAAGAATGGTAGTTAATATTTTCTGTGAAGCTGACAGAGAGGTTCCTTTTAAATTATTTCAAGTAATCTTATGTTCTATTTTGTAAGTAGAGATAGTAATAAAATCTTTACATCGCTGAGATAATTCTTCCTTATGTCAAATGGGAGCTACTTTTGTTTTGAGTCTCTTGCATAACTGAGAGTATCACACTGACATGTGTCCTGCTGTACAGGTTTTGGTGTTGTGACTCAAAGTTTCATATGAATTGTTTCTTAATGGTGTTCTACATCACAGATTCGGTTGCTGAACCACATCACTTGGCAGCCAATGGTGGAGTTTCCTCACTCTGACATTTTATTAGATAAAGTTTGCACTGTATATCAAGAATCTTTCACCAAAGAACAACCCAGCAAGATATCATGTAAGTATTTCCAGTAATCATATTAAATTAATTTAAAATGAGTATGTTATTTAAATTGTTGTTGCATTATAGAATGAATCTGATCAGTGGTTTAACTCAGCAGTATTTCCTAACATTTTTCAGAAATGAATTCACTCTGATGTAGACAACTGATCCAGATAACTGCATACAGGGGAAGGGAGGGGCAATTATCTAAGGTAAAAGGAATATGGCTGCCTTGAATATTGGTAGTACAGATAACAGAAATCCAGCTTTTTCATTTTTTAGTAGGATGTATTTCAATTAGTCTCTCAGTGGTCTCAATAAAAAGTACATACAAAGTAATTTTAAAAAGTACTTTTCATTAAATGAGACCCATGTGTATATAGGGTGTAAGCAAAAGGTGCAGACAGACTTTGGGCGTGAGTTCCTCATATGAAAACAGGAAGGTATCTATGGCATTGAAATCTCTAAAAAATAACAGGGAAATAATAATTCTGCAAGCTGACAAAGGAAACTGAACAGTAGTGCTGAATGAGTCCACATACAAGGAGAAGATATCCAATCTATTAGAATCAGGGGTTTAAGAAATTCTATGGAAGGATCCCATATCTCAAATTGAGAGGAAGGTATGGAAACTTCTTACCAAGCCTAAAATTGTCCTTCCTACTGCCTTGAAACATAAACTGACTCCTACGAGTCATATTGTACAGGTCAACCGCAAGAGTAGGAATTAGACCAATATGGGTCTCAGGTGGTATGAGTAGCCTGACCTTAAGTGCCTAAGTTTTCTGCTTGGCTGCGTTGTCTACCAAATTCACTCTACTAGGAAACGGGCTACACTGTATTAGATATTAGTTATAACTTCACTGAGAAATATTGTCTTGCTTCTCATACCTGCAGTCCATAAAATCTACATGGAGCTTTGGCTCGAACCACAAGAAGCGTACCTTAAATGTGGTAAAATGTAAAATTTATGTTCCTTAAATCAGGGTTTCAATGTATATTGAGGCTGAGAATCTCTTTTGCTTTTAGTTGAGCTAATTCATGGAAGGCCTGTGATTATTTCATCTCTGCAAATGGACCTGGAAAACCCTACAAAATTAATGGGTACTGGACTGGCAGTGTTCAGTAGCTGCGGGTACTTCTTGGCGACAAGGGCAGATAAGATGCCTGCTGCATTATGGATCTGGAGCATCAAGGAGATGGCACTACAATCTGTCATAGTTCATAAGCAGCCAGTTACAGGTACATATTAACTTTGTAACAAAACATACATAGGATGAGCACATGCACTTGCTGAAATAATTGCCATAAAATAACACGGACTGCAATAGGGTTCTGAATTTTATTTGTAAATGTATACTCTTATTAAGTGGGTACTTGGCATAAAGCAGCTGGAGCATGAACAGGTTCTAGATTTGATGATTGGATTTATTAGCACTTGCGTTACGAGCTCTCTTAACTGCAATTAATACAGCCCTATTGCTGATTTACACAATTTACAATTCACTGTTACACGCACATTAGGATTCTCAGTTTCCACTAGTTGTCTCCTAGCAACAGATCTGGACTTCAATCAGTCTGAAACCTCGGAACTCAACTAAAACTCTTCACAGCTGCACAAGCAGACTTGTGTTATATAGCCACAGCACAGACAACGCAGCAAACACAGTTTTACTGTTGCATAGCGCAGACCGCACGTGATAGATATGCACTGTTGGGGTGTGATGTCATTATGTGGATGTGTGTTTACCAAGCCGTTGCCTAGAAGTGAGTTGCATAACCCTGCTGTTCCATTGTTGCATGCGTGTATTACTTAGAAATGGCTGTTTCTGTGGCTCAGCAGTTCTTGCAGGGAGCAAATACACCACAATTTGTACACTTTCACCTTTGCTATTATGTAACATTCTTGGCTCAGAGTAGGATGTGATGCCATGTAGTTTGGTAGATGGGTGCCAAAATTCCAGGGGAACCTTCTGCCTCCATCTTCATGGTAGAAGAATCTAGCCCAAATACGTTGTGCGTTCAACTTCTAAGGTCTCCGATTTTTTTTCTCACACAATAATCATACAAAAAATTTGAAACTTCTGTCACTTTTCAATGTAATCTCCCTGCAGCCATATACATTTTTCACAACGTCGATGCCATGATTCCATGGCCGCTGCGAACGCTTCTGTAGGAGTCTGTTTTGACCACTGGAAAATTGCTGATGCAATAGCGGCACGACCGGTGAATGTGCGACCACAGAGAGTGTCTTTCATTGCAGATCTTCACGCAGGATTGTGTGCACAGATCCCACAGAAATGCCAACTTTGGAGGCAATGTTTTCCATACTCAATCGGCGATCCTCCGAAATAACTTTCTCAACTTGCTCGCCCATGTTTTCCGACCGGCTGGTGCGAGGCCGATATTGTTTTGGTTCGTTGTCACACGACGTTCGGCCTTCTTTGAACTGTCGCACCCACGAACGTACATTTTTCACATTCATGACACCATCACCACATGTCTCACTCAACTGGCAATGATTTTCAATGGGTGTTGCACCACGCAAGTGGAGAAAACGAATGATTACTCGCTGTTCTTGTAACGAAAACGTCGCCATTTTAGGTATCAAAAACACTCCTCGCTCTCGTCGCCACCACTAGAGTTCTGTGTGCCCTACAGTGCTGCCATTTTTGTCACGCATTCACAAAGAGTACACACGTGTTTTAAACTAAACCGCATATGTCTATCTGCTCCCAGTCCTGAGAAAAAAAATCGGAGACCTTAGGACTTGAACGCCCCTCGTATGAAGGCAGAAGGTTCCTCTAAAAAATGAGTACTCATCTACATAGCCTCATATCCCAGAGAGCTGTAATTTTTAGACTCACTGCAATGAGAACCTAAGATTCACATCTTTCTCTTACTTTCCCTTTTAAATAGAAAGAAAGAAATGGGCTTGTCTGTTGTGTGAGTTCCAACCAACTGAATGAAACTTGTTAGGAATATTATGCATTGGGTTTCTCCCTGTTATTGTACTCTTATTTTCCTACAACCAGTAATAGCACATCTGAACATGTGACATGGGAATGACAGTAGTGTCTCTTAATACAGAATCCTGAAATGATTTGTGGTAATAGGTATTAAGGTGCAACTGTTGTTAAGGTAATTTTTTTGTACAAGATAAAAGAAAGAATTGCAGCCATATGAAATGTTATATGTTCACTACAGAACTTGACATCTGTCAACAAACTTACATTTTGTAGTTATGAACACTGTCTCCAGGCTTTATGTAGTAGACAGCTACATTCTGAGCTGCTCCTTTATGCAAATAGAAAGTTTGATGTTTTACAGGTTTTATCATTTGTATAAACAATGCAGTTTGTTCTTAATGTTGGATGTACCACAGGATATCATTTTTTTTTTAGGTATGGGGGATTTGTTCACTAAAACTGTATTTTACTATACAGATCCACAGTGCACTGCTACTGACATTATTGTAGGCATATTTACCACAGATTCGTTAATTCATAAGTAAATTTTGTCAAAAAACAAAAACATTTGTTTCATGTCACTGTATAAATTTGACGTATTCATGAAGGTATTCATGTCCTGAACCTGTAACCCCTTCCCCATGCAAATAAGGTCCTGAAGAAGCATAAATGTTTATATAATTCTGTTCTAGCAATTTGCTGGGCTCCAGTTGAACCAAGATTAGCCATTGTGTCTGGATCAAACTTTGTGAGCCTGTGGGTCAACAAGAAAGTGATGGTTCACATGACTGACCAACTTTGTGTATCTGATGTGAGATGGGATCACTCTGGAGAGTGCTTGGCTCTATGTGCCACCACTAAAGTAGCATTTTTACAAATGCCAGCTTTGTGATAACCTCGTTATATTAAGAGTATACCTTTGTAGTTATAATTAAGTTGACAAATGCATGTGTTAGGTATTCACAGTAATTTTTTTTAAATTTTCTCAAAAATAACCTATCATGTGAAAAGTATATACATGGCAGGAACTTGCTTTAATGGAAACAACCTTCAATTTGTTATGCACTAAAAGTATAAAATATAATTTAGATCATCAATTAAGTGGTAATCATATTGCATGAGAGTCCAAAAATTTATATTTTGTAACCCAATTTAAGTCAGATTTTCTGAGAAAAGGAACTGAATTTCAACAAGTCATTCACAAGTGATCATGTGTCCTTGAGCAGCTGGTGTTTGCTTCATGGTTTTGTTTGGCTGTGACTGTCTTGAATGTTCTTGCTGGGGCGGGAATTTGTTGTGTTGATGGCCAACCACAACACAACAAATATGCCCAGCTCAAGGACACCTAAACAAAAAATGGATGGTTAACCCACATAACCAGATGCAATCTGAGGCCTCTACATAACAGAAACAGAACAGCATTACTGTGAGCAGCAGGTTCCTTGATCACAACAACCTGTACACCTGAAGATGGTAGGTTAGGCCAAAACATGTAGTGATGACAAAGAGAAGACTGAGATAATGTTAACTGACATTGCACACAGACAGCATTAAACGCAAAGTCAGATCTCAGCAGTGCAACAGGATGCTGCAATGTAACATTATGCCTGATATCAGTTTTTATGTAAAATTCATTCATGGTCTTCTGGCTTATGACATGGTTACCAAAGTTTTCTGCTGATCTGTTGAAGCCAGGGGCAGTATGTTCTCTGGTAACCATCTACCAGGCAACACAGTATCATAACTTAGGAGACCAGAATAAGATTTTCACCATTGTGAAAGATTAAAATCTGATACTGTGTAAAATTGTTTGTATTTTCAAATCTGGTGGATACTGTAAGGAGTAATCACTAAACCATAGTAGTTCTGTTTTTCCTTATAAAGGAAAGAACTTGAGAGGTAAAGCTATCCCTATAACAGGCCATGGAGGCTCCTAGGGTTATGAGATGTCGAGGCTCCCACATTTTCTCTAGGCAGTCAGCTCACAAATGGCAGGAAGGTTGTCAGCCTTGCGCGCTGGTCACCCTTTGCCCCCCCCATGAAGATTGCTGGTACTCATTTCTGTTAGAGCCCAATTACAGACACTGCACATTGTAGATAAAAGTAATTGCATATGGACAAACAAGTCAAAGACTAATTAAATTTAAGCACTGGAGCAAAGACACATTAATGCAATTAATGTAATTAATAATTCAGTTCAATTTATGTTTATTTACATGCAAACTTAACAGCACAGTGGCCAATTACAAAGTTAGCATGAGTACACAGAAATACACAAAAATAATTAAAGAACAAAATATGAAACTCTATACAAGGGCAATAAATTAATAATAATTACAAGCAAAACTATAAAGTTAGCATTGACAGGAGAAAAAAAATTGAGTATGTAAATTTCCAATGGTTATGCCATCTTGTGTAATAATAATAATAATTCAATTTGTGTTTATTTGTGTGCAAGCTTAACAGCACAGAGGCCAATTACAAAGTTGGCACGAATACATAGAAATACAAAAACTAACTAAAAAAACAACAAAAAAACAAAATATGACAGTCTATATAATGACATTAAATTAATAATAATTCCAATAAAAATTGAAGTTAGCATTAGCAGGTGAGAAAAATAAAATAAGTACATTTTGAATGGTTATGCTATTATGTGGTGGGAACGTACAATACCCATACATACACACATAGAAGTTAATAAAAATAACAATAACCCTGTTAATTCTTACTTATTTGTGTGGCAGCTCAACATCCTAATAATAATAATTCAGTTCATGTTTATTTACGTGCAAACTTAATAGCACAGAGGCCAGTTAAAAGGTTAGCATGAGTACATAGAAATACACAAAAATAATTAAAAAGCAAAATACAAAATTTGAGAATCTATATAATGGCAATAAATTGATAATAATTCCAAGAAAAATTGAAGTTAACAGGAGAGAAAAATAAAACAAGACCAATATACATATATACATACATACACACACAGGCTGCGCCATAGCTCAAGCAGTTAGTAGCTGGCTTCCCACCGTGGTGGCCCAGGTTCGAGCCAGGGCCTGGTCAAGTGGCGCTGGGGTGGGTTTTCTCTGAGTACTTCAGTTTCCCCTGCCAATCTTCATTCTGCCAAAATCTCCATCATCATAATCACCCAGGGCAGGCTACAATAGGCCAATCAGTGAGCGCCATGCCGAGTGGACCCAGTTGGACTCCACCCCCCACTAAGTGAATTTAATTTAAATTTTACATACATACACACATGTAATATTGAAGTATTATCAAATATTCTTAACAACTAGCTGTGCCCGGCCACACCTTGCTGTGGCTCAGTCTGCCCATTCTTCCCCAGTTTCATTTGAAATTACTCGACGCATTGCTTCCGCTCTGCGAGTACGACGACCTAAGCCTGTTCTTAGAAAACGAAAAGAAAAATAAACTATACTTACAAAATAACTTCCACGCACGTCTCGGATTCAGCGAATAAGTTATTGAACGCTCACTTTTACACCAGCGAGTACAATTATTATCACATCCAGTATCACCGAAAAATTCTTCGGAGCTGGACTATTATAACCCGGTTTCGGATGCAATATAGAACACGTTCAACCAGGGTTCCATTTCACGTGTTCTTTGCTTGTTGCCGCAGAAATGCATTATTTCCACAGTTTCAACAGTTCGTGGCCACGGTTATTCCAAGGCAACGATGTGCTGTTTCAACAGTTCGTTGCGACAATTATTCCTAGGCAGTGAACAGTTTCAACAGTTCGTTGCCATGGTTATTCCAAGGCAACGATCCGCTGTTTCAACAGTTCGTTGCCACGGTTATTCCTAGGCAACAATCTCTTGGTATTCAATGGAAGACATATAACATGTTACAGTATATTATATTGAATACAATTAATACTTTTACCTGTTTTTACCTGTCACGGGTGTGACATCTATATAATAGGTATATGAAAGCACGCGCATGGGTTCGAATGCAACGTTGTGTCAAAATTTCAAAGCAATCGGTGAAGAACTTTCGGAGATCTTCCATAAGACACAAACCAACATTTACGTTTTTATTTATTTAGATTTTAGGTTCAATGTTCCGATTGCAAATATGTTGAGATCTTTACCCACCGCGTTGGCAGCCTAGGCGCACCGAGCAGAAGGACAGTGTTTATTAGAGGGACAAACACCAAACAATGAGAAGTCTCTAAGATTGCTGGAAGGAACACGAAGGCTAAAATTTTCCAAAAGAGAAGCGCAGGATTTAAGACGAAAGACCTGAACTGAAATAAGTGCATCAAGTGATGTCTCCGTTTAAGTAAAGAATGTAGACTTAATTTCTCTAAAGCATCAATATAAGTATATGGAATATGAGGGAAAAAATGATAAAAACAGATGGACACAAACTTCTGCTGGATATGCTCAAGCTTATTGGCATCAGTCGAGGTGATGCAGTTCCAAACTACTGAGGCATATTCCAACTTGGACCTGGCTAAAGTAAAGTATAGTACATACAGACACTCCAGGGAGGAAAATCTATAGGTAATGGAGTGAATAAGGCCTAGAAGCTTTATGCATTCAGAATATATGTAATTAACATGTGTGTGAAAATGTAGCTTTCAATCAAAGAAAACGCCCAGGTCATTAATACTGCTGGTGCGTGTAATGATAGCATGACAAAGCTGATATTCGTAGCTCAGAAAATTTAGCATTTTCTGTGACAGAACTGTGTCTATATTCCCATTGTTGTATGTTGCAGTTCTCGCAGGCAACACACATTTTTATGGAGTGTGTTGTGGGAGTTCCCTAATGATACCTGTCTAAAGCATTATATCAGCTTCCACTTCGGTTGGTTTAAATCACTTTCATGTATGTCTTACAGAAGTGTTAGAAGTTACAAACATTTGGTAAAGTTTTTGTATATATGTAAAATGGACTCTGTATGGTTGCAACTTACCTCTCTTTTGCTAGTTTTTATCAAATAAAGTACAGCCAATGATATCTCTTTCCCAGAACTCATCCTGTAGACTGTGGCTCTCATATCTGCGTACAGTATCAGCATATGACAGTTTGGATTAACTGAAAGTGGGCTATTCTAAACACCTTGTAACTTGAAAAACTGTTGTCTTCTTAGATGTGAGGTCATGTAGACTGGTAGAATGTTACCACCACTTTGGAGAAACATGTAAAGTGATAAGACCCTGAAGATGGAGGCCTCACATTCCTCAGAGATGTTGGTAACATTCTACCAGACTACATGGTGTCACATCCCAGAAGACTGAAATCTTCGTGGTTACAGGCATATCCCTATGGAAGATCTTAGCCGAAGACTTGTTCACTTAGAGAGTATACATTGTAATTGCACATACAGGGAATACACAGTCATGAGTAGATAACAGTTGGTTTTGATTTGACATGAGAGTTAGGTGTAGGAATTGAGAACTGAGAGTTGCGTGTTCTGCGTTTGTTGATACTTCTGAATTGCATGGTGACAGTGAGGAGGCTACGGCTGGTACTTGGAATGAAGAGTACAGCATTCTGAGTTGTAGCAACATGTAGTTCAGAGAGAGCTCCGCGTTTTGGAGGTGACATTCTTCCTAAACATTGGGCCATCTCCAAACTACATGTTGCTACAACGCGGGACCCTGAAAACCTTATAGACGTTGCCATGAAAACATCAAAATCAAACATGGTACTTAGAATGTCTGTGTAAGATAAGTAAGTTGCTGTCTCATTGCAGAAGTAATTGTAAATATAAATTGGATAGGAACTGCTGCAGCTTTGGGGGTTGGTGGGGAGATGTTAAGGCATTTTTCTAATTGGTACAGTTAGAAATTTCTTGGCAGCTAATTCCGCAATAATCTGACAAGTCATAATGGACAGTTTAGGCATCGTGTTGATGTAGAATTCTGTAATACAAGTTTATGGAAGTATGACTGCCATAACTTGGCTGAAGTAAAGACAGATGGGTTGCAACATAATGAAAGAAATATAAATCACTTCGTTGAATTGTAATATAATCCTTGAGGTGGTACTTCAGAATTCTGTTATGGGTTAGAATGTTTGACAATTTATGACTCATATTGTTGCAAGATATCTTACATTCATTGTATCCAAAAATTATATAAACTGAAGCAAATATAAACATTCTGATGTATGTGAGGATCCATACAGGTCAGTCGACTCCTCCGATGCAGGAGAGATTGATCCACCTCTGAGTCTTGCATTGTCACAGGAAAATGCAGATCAATATGGGCAGAACATTAATGTCCCGAATGGAGTTTCAGGCCAGCTGTAGGTTGCCTGAGACTTTATGCATCTATGACAATTAAGTCACCTGGTTCAGCCTTCATCCTTGCTGATACATATTTCTGCTTTACAGTGTGCTGTCAGGAAGGACTGGAATTGAATGTCCCCAACTGAGTGCTGATGGCTTTAATACAACCAATAAAGAAATAAAGACAAGTAAAGTTGTCCCTGTGCTCAGTGCAGCACTGCACTCAGAATGTGTACAGGGTGTAAATAAAATGAAGTATATGAGAAAATACGAAACATCTGCCATAAGAGTCACATTGTAAATGCAGTTAACAAATAATTTGAAAATATTTCAGAATTTTAATGTGTGGGATGAATAATATTAAAAAAATAATTGGATTAGGAGTAAATTCTGGAAAATTCTTGTCCTTTTATAAAATACCTATCTTGAATACTTCAAAACACCAAAACGTTAAAATTCAGTGAAAGAATACATGTTGGAAGTGTTTATGGAGGTAAGTAAAAATGCTTTCACTTCGACGCATAAAAAGCTGCAGTCACGTTCCCTGTGGACATGAACATGGAACCTTCAGAAGGTAAGTTCACTGCCTCATCCCTGAGGCCAACACATCTACTGGTTGAATTTGCATATAAAATGATGTGCAGTGAATTTACAACTATCAGAGCCTGATCAGAATAAATCCTTACAAGACCAGTCATGGT